GGTGCTCCTCCTCCTCCTCCTCCTCGTCCTCATCCTCCTCCTCCTCATCAGAAGCATAATCAACATCATCTTCATCATACGCCACCTCTTCCGCCTCCTCCAACTCCTCATGCTCCTGATATGCCTGTATCCCATCGCACCTCGTCCTCATCCTTCTCCTCATCATCTTCATAATCCTCCTCCTCCTCCTCCTCCTCCTTATCCTCCTCCTCCTATTCATCTTCCTCCACCTCCTCCGCGTCCTGCCCCTTCTCCTCATTATCATCGTCATCAACTTAATAAACACCATAATCGCCATCATCGGCATCGTCATCACCACCATCGCCATCACCAGCATGACGGCACGGCCCACAAGCACAATCACAACCATCAGCATCCGCATCAGCAGCGCCACCACCATCGCCAGCGTCATCGTAGACATCATCATGCGCAGTGTCAGCGCTATTTGCGGGTTCCTCCTTCTCATTCGTAAGCTCCTCCACCTCGTCCTTCTGTCCTCCACATCCTCATCGACATCCTCAGACACTCCGCCACAGCCTCAGCCCCCTCCCCCACCCGCCACCGACCACTCATCCATCCTAAGTATCCTCCTCGTCTTACTCTTCCTCCTCTGGCCATTAATATATATATATATATATATATATATATACATATATATATATATATTAACACCACCACAGTCAGCATCGTCATCAGTATAACACTGAACATAACATGCCCACAATCGTCACCATTACCCCAAGCAACGTCACCATCCGTATCATCATGAGCATCACCATCAGCAGCATCAGCATCAGCATCAGCAACAGCATCATAATCATCATCAGCATCATAATCAGCACCATCATCATAATCAACATCATCATCGTCGTCGTCGTCATCATCAGCAACAGCAGCAGCATCATCAGAATCATGATCATGATCATTAGCATCGTCGCCATGATCACCATGATCGTCAGGACCATGATCGTAATCAGCACCATCTTCATCATCATCATCATCATCAGCAGCATCAGCAGGAACATCACCATCATCATGAGCAAAAACATCATCACCAGCATCAGCAGCATCGTCATCAACATCATCGTCATCAATACCACAATCATCGCCAACACCACCACAATCATAATCAACCATCCCATCGTCCTCCGCGTCACCACCACCAACATGGTAAGTCTCATCCTCATCATCGTCAAACGCAGCATCAAAATCAGCAGAGTCACCATAGCAATCATCATGTCCGGCCTCATCACCATCAACAAAAACACCCCGACCACCAGCATCATGATCATCATAACTAGTAGCATCGCCGTCGTAGTCGAGATCGGCAGCAACATCATCATTGGCCGCAACCATCATCACAATCATGCATCACATCATCATCGTCATCAACATCATATCATCACCGTCATCATCATCATCATCATCATCATCAGCAGCAGCATCGTCAGCATCCGCATCGACATCGTCACCATCACGATCACCACCATCGTCATCATCATCATCATCATCAGCATCAGCATCATCATCATCAGCATCATCATCACCATAATTATCATCATCGGCATCAGCATCACCAAAACGATCATCGTCAGCAGTAGCATTCCCATCCTCATCCTCATCGTCGTCATAGCCGTCGACGTCGTCGTCGTCACCATCAGTAGAATCATCAGCATCGTCATCAGCAGCAGCAGCGGTCCAAACATCATCGCCATCACATTCATCACCAGAATCTGCATCATCAACATCATCATCAACATAATCACCATCACCGTCACCATCATCACCATCATCGAGACAATCAGCATCATCATCACCAGCATCATCAACATTATCATCATAAGCATCATCAGCATCATCATCGTGATCATCGTGACCATCGTCATCACCATTACCATCACCATCATGATCATCACCAACACTACCATCAGCATCATCATCATCAACATCATCATCAATATCCCTACCGTCATCAACAGCGTCATCAGTATCATTAGCACCACCGTCATCACCACCACCATCATCATCATCGTCGTTGTCCTGCTCCTCATCATCATCATCATCACCATCATCACCATCACCATCACAATCATCATCACCAACATCACCATCACCATCACCCTCACCATCACCGCCAACTTCACCGTCACCGTCACCATCACCATCACCATCATCAGCATCAGCATCATCATGATTAACATCATCATCAGCATCATCATCAGCATCATCATCCTCCTGATCATCACCCTCCTCCTCCTCCTCCTCATCATCAGCATAAACAACATCCTCATCATCATCATCACCATCATCATCATCATCACCACCACTACCACCACCACCACCACCACCACCACCACCACCATCATCATCATCATCATCATCATCATCATCATCATCATCATCATCATCATCATCATCCGTAATCATTTGGGCTCAAGCCTGCCTTGGGCGTCGGGCAGACGACGCGCTGTGTCTGGCGCCTTCGTAGGAGAGATCGGCTCTGTCCTTCTCCGTCGCGACCTCCGCGGTGGCGGCGAGGGGCGCCGGCAGCAAGGCTGGGCTCGGGGGGCTGCCCTCGGTGTGGCGGCCGAGCACGCGCCGAGCCCAGCACAAACTGTACCCAGGCCCGACGGCGGCGCGGAAGGCGGCGCGACGCAGACGCCAGCGAGCCTGTGAGGCCGCGCTGCGCAGCCTGGTCGCTGCGGCCGCCATGCCTGACCGGGGTTCACTTCGCTCGAGAGCTCCCGAACGAAGTGAACCCCACCCTCCCCCTCAGACATCGTGGGGGGTAGGGGTCAGGTCGGGCATGTCCCCCTTCAGGGGGGTTCTGGACGAAAACTTGAAAATTCCCCCACAATATGCGAAAGTATGCATAAAATGCTCAAGCAATTGTCCCCAGACTATTGTTTTGACTATGTTGAATATTCCTCCTGTAGAGGGACAGGCCCGACTTGAGGGTAGGGTTCGCATGTGGCCCCCTTATGGGCCCTGGCAGGACCGCGAGCAGGCCGCCAGGCCTGCCCCACGGTCCTGCCAGCGGCAGGCGCCCGCGTGCCCGGAAGAGCCAGGCGCCGCAGGATGATGCCGTGGCGCCGGCGGCGGGCTTTGTGCACGGGCCTGCGACGCCGCCATCTCGGCGGCGGACAGCGTCCCCAAGCTGCGGACGTCTGCTCCTGCCACTCCGCAGGCTGCTCCGCGGCGCGAGTTTTTTCTCGGCCACGCCCAGGAAGCTGCGGAGGGTGGCGCCGCCGCGGCCCGAGGGCTGGCGGACCCTGGAGGCGGTGGCGCAGGAACAGGCCATCGATCAAGAGGAGGCCGGGGAGGCTGAGGTGAGCTTCGGCAGAGAGAAGGGCGACGCTTCGGACAAGCACCGTGAGGAGATGGAGGGTGATGCTTCGGTGACCGCGGTCGGCCTCACGCTGCAGGGCGACGTCGCCGATAGCCCAGCCCACCACCAAGAGGTCGAGGAGAGCGTCAGCAAGATGGAGGGCGATGCTCCAACTATGCACTTCGGCCTGCCGCTGCAGGACGACGTCGCGGTCGGCCGCAGCTCCCGCCAGGAGGAGAGCTTAGGCAAGATGGACGCCTTCTCAGCTGAGCTAGTGTTCGCACTCGGGTTCCGAGCTGTGTGAGTATTCTCCGAGATTGCCATTACGCTGTGCTGTTCTGGCGAGTTGCTTCTCTCTCGCTTCTCTCCGATCATCATCATAAGTCTCATCATCATAATTAGCATCAACATCATCTTCATTATAGACATCATCATCATCATCATCATCATCATTATCATCATCAGTAGCATCACAATCACAGTCGGTATCATCATCATCATCATCATCATCATCATCATCATCATCAACATCAGCATCATCATCGTCAGCAGGAAGCATCATAAGTATCAGCAGCATCATCATCACCATCGCCGTCGTCATCATCAACAGTATCCTGACCATTGGCATCATCAGCAACATTACCAGCATCGTCATCATCATCGTCAGCATCATAATCATTATCAACAACACCATCATTACCAGCATCATCATCAACAGCATCGTCATCATCAGCACCAGCATCATTGACATCATCGCCGGCGCCGCCATCGTGATCTGTATCTGCATCAGCATCAGCATCATCATCAGCATCAGCATCATCATCAGCAGCACGACCATTCACATCGCTATCAATATCATCATCGTCGTCATCATCACCATCATCAGTATAATCAGCATCATAAGCATCATCATCCTCCTCACCAGTGATCATCAGAATCATCATCATCATAACTATCAGCATCACTGAGGTCGTCATTATCATCACCACCATTATAGACATCATCGTCATCACCATCATCATCAACATCATCACCATCGCCGTCGTCATCATCAGCATCATCACCATTGTCCTCGTCGTCATTATCATCATCATCGCCACCACCATCATCATTATCATCACCACCACCATCATCATCACATCCACAATCAATTATCATATAATCATCATTGGCATCATCACAACCGCCAGCATCATCATCAGTATGATCAACACCATGATGCTGATTACCATCATCCTCACCACCACCATCATCATGATCATCATCATGTTCTTAATCATAATCAGTATCATCATCTTCCTCATCAAACTCATCCTCATCCTCATCCTCATCCTCATCCTCAACATCATCATCACCAGCTTCATCATCTCATCATCATCATCATCATCATCATCATCATCATCATCACCATCACCATCACCATCACCATCACCATCACCATCATCATCATCATCATCATCATCATCATCATCATCATCATCATCATCATGTTCATCATCGTCATCATTATAATATAATCATTCGTCCTCCCTCGTCGCCTCATCTCCCATTCCCCACGCGCGCGCTCCCGTGCGCACGAGGGGGGAGGGAGGGGGGGCAGAAGAGGACGAGCAAGAGAGGAGAGGAGGCAGGAAGGAGCTCGACGACGACGACCCCCCGTGGCGCAGTGGTCCAACGGCGTGACCGAGGAGCACCGGGCCCTGCAGGAAGCCGACCGCAGCGATCGCCGCGCGCTTGCCGCCGTCGCCCCCGCTCTGCAACCTCCCGCTGCCGCACCCCCCAAGACCTCCAGGGAGAGGCTCGAGGATCGAGTAGCTGTTGGACGTTTCGTGTTTTTGTTTGCCTCTGGAGGCCTCAGGACGCCTCCAAGGACCAGGGACCTCAAGAGGCACAGTGGCGCATCAACCAAAATGTGCCCGAGGACTTTCCGGCATCCAGAGGCCGCTCTCAAGCCCTGGGACCGCCATACCACGACTTCGAAGTAAGAGCCAGGCCCAGGGAAGGAGCCCGGAGTTCCTGGGCTGGAAATTCAAAAACAGTCTTGTCACAGAGGTCAAGGCCCCCATCCCTCAGCGCGCGCCAGGGGCGAGGGAGAAGGAGCAGGACAGGAGCAGAAGCAGGAGGAGGGGGGCTTCGGAGGACCTGGCGGGAATGTTGCGAAGGGGGGGCGGGTTGGCCAACCAGCTGCGGAGAATCAGACTAGGCAAGATCCGTCCTACAAGGACCGGACGGGGATGACATGGGACCCCCCAGGGGCCTTGGCCTCGCCAAGCGTAGGGACCTGGTCGGTATGCTGGAGCTCACTGGCCCTGGGGCCGACTCGGGAGGCCCCCTTACAAAACAAAATGGCTGGTAACGTTGGGCTTAAGTTGATAGCTCTCTATCACTATATGGCAAACTATGAGCCACTTATGCATCGCCGAGCGGGGGGGGGGCTCGGAAGGGACATGCCACTCATTGACAAAAACGTTCTCCCGATGTGAGGCCGCCGCGGTCGCCGCGGCGACCTCCAAAACCAACCCAGAGGTTTAGTTCGAGATCGGACATCGCGCAACGAACTCATACAGTGCGGGCGCGGCCGCAAGAAACCCAACCCTGAAAAACCGCGCGCGAAGAGCGCCTGAAGGGAAACCGGGAGCACCCTGAACGCAGCAGCTCCTTCAACGGCCGCGAGAAGTCAACGCGCAGCGCGCGGAGCAAAGAAACCCAGGACACCCTGACGAAAAGCATCTGGTTTCTTGATGCGCGCCCCCACTGTACTGTTCCTGGCAGAACTCAGAGAGCCCCAGAGCAGCACAGAACACGAAACTATGGCCGAACGTGATCGTCGCCGAGTTCTCGCACTCGCTCTTCAACGAAATTATGCAGACAGAGGCGGGGGCAAAATCCTTATCCCGCCTCTACTCCCCCACCACCTGATGTTCCACCCCCCATACACACTGTCTGATGTTCGGAAATGACTCGGCCCTCGAGAGCAAGCACTGAACCAATCCGGTCTGGTTCAAAACGACCTCGCCTGGTCGGAGGCCCGAGGAGAGACCTCGACGCGTGCTGAGCCCCCGCCGGACGCGCAGGCGGACCACGGCGCGTCACTCACGTGATGCCGTTTAGGGTTAGGTCGGGCATGCCCTTCTACCGGGGGATTTTGGACGAAAACTAAAAAAATACAAAAAAATACCCCCAAATGACAAACAATTGTCAAAAAAAAGTCCCCTGGCTATGTTTAGACCATGTGATATTCCCCCTGTAGAGGGACAGGCCTGGCTTAAGTTTAGGCCCGTCCCCGAACAAGCTCTCTCACCTGCTTTCCCTCGTCGTCCTCTGTGCCCTGGCCCACCGACGATTGCAACGAATGGCCGCCAACATCAGCTTGGGCCCTTCAGGGGTCACCTGGCTCTCGAGACAGCCCCTCCCCCCTCATTGTACCGACCTTGCAGAGTGCTGCAGCAGAGTTGTTGTGCGGTTTCCTGTCAATGCAAAACCCAGGAAAAGCAAGCGAAAAATGAAGTGAATTTCGCGCACATGGCTTGTAGTCTTCTTACCTGGTTAAAAGTATTCGCACGAAATCCTACCAGCCATGTGGGCGTCGGTGGTTTAGGGAGTTTCCTCTTCCACCCCTCCTTCTTCCCCTTCGGGGAGGGCACTCTGCCTCCAAATTCGGAACATGCGCAGCCAACCCGATGCGGCCCCCCCCCAACATCCCTGTCAAAAAAAAAAACAATACAGAGTACACTTGGCGGCGGCGGATGCTGCGGCGGCTGCGGCGGCGGTGGCGGCAGCTGCGGCGGCTGCGGCGGCGGCGGCGGCGCCGGCGGTTTGGCAGCGGAGGGCGGCGGCGGCGGCGGCGGCGGCGGCGGCGGCGGCGGCAGCGGCGGCGGTGGCGGCAGCGGCAGCGGCTGCGGGTGCGGGGGCGGCGGCGGTTTGGCAAAGCGAAGGGCGGCGGCGGCGGCGGCGGCGGAGGCGGCGGCGGCGGCAGCAGCGGCGGCGGCAGCGGCGGCGGAGGCGGCTTGGCAACGGGGGGCGGCGGCGGCGGCGGCGGCGGCGGCGACGGCGGCGGATTGGCCTCCAGTAGCTGCCCATCCCAAGACGACTGGTGAATATGCTGAGGCTTGGGCCAGACTCGAGTGCTACGTATGTGTTGGGGGGGCGGGTGAGAGTGAGCGAGACGGCTTGCGGGCGGGGAGGGGGTAACTTGACCCCTCCCCCTACCCCTTCCCCTGGACCTGGACAGGGGGGCCCGCGAGGTGCCGGAGCGCCCAAAACGGCCTCGGCGGGGAAACCAACATCATTGGTTCCCATTTTGGCCTCCTGAGGGGGGCCGAAATTCAAGCTCCCCTCTTGTTTGATCGATCTCCTCCAAGATGGCCTCAAGAAGCGCCCAGGAAGCCCACGCTAGTTGAAAAGCAGCAGGATGCCTCACTCCTGGCTGCTTGGAAAACGAAAAAAAAAGTCAAGTGCGTCTTCGCCTGAAGCGGCGGCGCCGGCGAAAGAAAAGCAGCGTGCGACCCAGGAGGCCGCCGGTCAGCGAATGGGGGCGCGGGGGCACAACACGCCGGCAGGATCGGTGCAGGTGCGACCACACGGACCACCAAGACCACCACCAACCAGGGACCCAATGGGGGGCGGGGGGGCGGAGGGGGCAGGGTCGCCGCGTGCGCGCCGGCGTCTGGTCCGCCGCGTGCACCCCGAAGCCGCCTCGTCGCAGGGCCGCCGTCTCCCCGTCAAGGTCTGGGCCGCCGCGGACTGGCGAGAGTCGGGCCGCCGAGGGCCGGGCGAGTGTGGCGTCGCCGCAGGTTCCGCCGCCGTCGCGGGGGGTCGTCGGGGAGGGGGCCGCCGCGGGGTGGAGGGGCGTCGTCGTCGAAAGCGTCGGCGTCGTCGTCGGAGCCAGGCTGTTGGCCGCCGTCGTTGCCTGGAGCCCTCGGGTTGTTGCCGCCGGGGCCGTCGTCGGGGTCGCCGCCAGGGCCGCTGCCTCCGGGGCCGCCTCCGGGGCTTCTGGGGACCTCCCACGCCGCCACCACTGCCGCCGCCACAGCCGGCGTGTCCGTGGAGCCCGCGCAGTAAGTCTGGGTGGGAGGGGGAGGAGTGGCCCGCAGGACCTCGAGGCCGAGGCGGCAAGCCGCAATCTGCAGCCGCGCCCGGCGCCCAACCGAGGGCCCAGGCCGCACCGTGATCCACCCGGATTTGGCCGTAATCCGGGGCTGGGCCCCCCACCAGTCCGCAGGGGGGCCGACCTCGGCGCCGAGGTGGGCGCGGGCCTCAGCGAAGCGAGGGCATGCTGCCCATAGGTGCCGAGCTGAGCAGAGCAGCTCTGGGCACCAAGGGCATGCCTTAGCGCACTTGCCGCGGCCGTGGCGGGTGGGGGCCCTGGCAGCCCCGCCCCGCCACACGCTGAGCAAAGACCGAGACTAAGGGCAGAGGCTCTGGCGCCAGTCCCGCCGCGCATGGGCGCGCGAGGCCTCGATGTCGAGATATCGATCCCCTCCTCGTCGCGCCGCGGCTGGACGCCTTGGCGGGGCTGCAGGAGGAGGCACCTGGCCAGGACCCGGAGGGCGTGTTGGCCAGGCTCACCAGAAGCGTCAAAGGCTCCTGCAATGGCCGGGTACCCCAAGAGAGCGGCCAGGGCAGGCGGGACCGCAGCACGGCGCACGGCAACCTGGGCGCGAGGATCGACGAGCCCCCCAGGCACCACCCAGACCCAGGGGAGGGGGACATGCGGAACAAGGCGAAGCCCGAAAGAGGCGGCGTGGTGGCCCACAGAGGAAAACCACAACGGCGAGGTAGGATAATCGCTGGCAGCTCTCAGCGCCTGCAGGGGGGTCCCAAAGACAGGGTGCAGGACCGGCCGTTCCGCCCACCACCTGCGTTGGCACCACCACGTGCAGCACGTGCGCGAGACGCTACGGAACGTCAGGCGCGTGAGCTCAGCAGGCGGGGAAGAGACGAACTGGGCGGCCCAGCGCCACTTGGACGCCACGCACTGGACCCAGACGCGCTCGCGAATCTCCGCGGACCCAGGGAGGGTAATTAGCAAGGCGCGTGGTTAGCTCAGTCACCTTACCCCAGCCATCCCTAGGCAAGGGAACCGGGGGGTGGACAGGGCCCGAGGACGCGGCCCACGGATGCCGAGGTGCTCGGCGGTCTCCGCCCCTCCCCAGAGCTGCCTCTTGCTCAGGTTCTCGACCACACCGAGGAGGGGGTCGAGAGCTTCAGTGGCGGCGAGCGCGGCGTCCCGCGCCGCCGTGTCCGCAGCCTTCACCGACCTGTCGTCCACATACGACCACGCCCCAGTGGGATTCCAGAGGGATCGGAGCCGGGCGTGCCACGGGGCCAACACGCAGCTCTGGGTGCGCCCGCTGCATGGGCAACCCGCCGGCAAGCCCCGCACGGGGTGGAGGGGGTCGCTAACGCAGCCCCCCACCGAACAGAACCGGGGCGCGCGCCAGGTCTGCACCAGGAAGCGCACCACGGCCGGATGCGCACCTAGGTGGAGGAGGGCATCGGTCGCGACCTGGTGGGCGACCGAGTCGCACGCCTTCTGCATGTCCACCTCGGCTCCGGCCTCGCCAGGCGCGGCGGCCCAGTCCGCGAAGGACCGAACCGCCCCCTTTTCCCCCCAGGCGCCGTCGGGGGCGGGGGGGGGGACCGAAGGAGGCAGCTGTGCCACGCCCGAAGCCACACGGGGGCGACCGCCACCGGACGAGCGTCATCAGACCATCTCTTGGGGATCCCAGCGACACGAGGCCCGGCAAAACGCAGCGAGC